TATAACTTTCTCTTCCTTTCCTTGCTCAAACTTTCACTCTTAACAAAAGCTCAGACAAAAAACAGGTGTATGTGACTTGTGTTAATTTGTTACGATAAGCGATTTTTTTTGTTTAAAGATGTGTTGTTGTTTGTTTTTGTTTGTGTGTTTAGATATATGTAAACAAACACGTAGAGGAACATACACACACAGATATAATAAACAAATATACACACACACACACACACACAAGCTGACAGTTATCGAATAATTTTTCTTATTGATGTTGACATATATGGTAAGTCGAGGAGGGAGGGGGTCGTGTGTGTGTGTGTGTGTGTGTGTGTGTGTGTTTTAATTTTTTTTTGTTTCCTTTAGGTCGTTTTATTTTTTTTTTAGTCCGCTGTTTTTCTGGTGTTTTTTTTTAGGTCGTGTTTTTCTGATTTTTTTAGGTCGTGTTTTTCTGAGATCGTGTTTTTTGAGGTCTTGTTTTTCTGAAGTCGTGTTTTTTGAGGTCGTGTATTTGAGTTGTTTTTGAGGCTGTGTATTTGATGTGTTTTTCTGAGCTCTTGTTTCTTCTGAGGTGTATTTGAGGTCGTGTTTTTCTAAGCTCGTGTTTATTTGAGGTCGTGTTTTTCTGAGATCTTGTTTTTTCTGAGGTCGTGTTTTTTTGAGGTCGTGTTTTTCTGATGCGTATTTGAAGTCATGTTTCTGAGATTGTGTTTTTCTGAGGTCGTGTATTTGAAGTCATGTTTTTGAGGTCGTGTATTTGAGGTCGTGTTTTTTTTTATTATTTCTTAAGTGGTCGTAACTCTGATGTAGGAGAGAGAGTATCCTTAAAAAAGTTTACGATCTGAATAACTGATTAAAACTTTTGGGGGGGAATGTGGCGCGCGGGAGGTCCGTATTATCGTCTCGTCTACCTGGACCAGCGGCGGGAGGAGTTGGACCAGGGGCGGGAGAAAGAGTTGGACCAGGGGCAGGAGAGTTGGTCCAAGGGCAGGAAAGGAGTTGGACCAGGGGCAGGAAGTTGGAACAGTGGCGGGAAGAGTTGGACTAGGGACGGGAGAAGGAGTTGGACCAGGAGCGGGAAGAGTTGGACCAGGGACAGGAAGAGAGTTGGACCAGGGACGGGAAGAGTTGGACCAGGGGCGGGAAGAGTTGAACCAGGGACAGGAAGGAGTTGGACCAGGGGCGGGAGGAGTTGGACCAGGGGCGGGAAGAGTTGGACCAGGGGCGGGAAGAGTTGGACCAGGGGCGGGGGGAGTCTGGAACAAAAGTTGAAGGGTGGGCCATTCCTCCTCTTCCCTCTTCTCTTTCTCTTCCTTCTTTTCTTTTCTCTTCCTTCTCTCCCTCTTCTCTTCTTCAATCAGTCCTCCTCTTCTCCTTTCTCATGGCCACTCCGTTTTCTTCCCCCTTTTCCTTCTCACCCTTTCTCTCATGTCTCTCTTGTTTCTCTCTCATTGTCTCACTCTCTCTCTCTCTCTCCTTCCGTTTTCTCTTCCAGTTTTCTGTCTCCTCATTTTCTTCACTTTCCAGCCTGAGTCAACTATTTTTTTTCCTATGAATATCGCTCTTGTGTTAAGCCTCCCTTGAGTACGATATTAACCCACCTTGAGTACAGTTCCTCGAGTCTTCTGAGTACTATATTAAGCCCCTTTTAGTACGATTTTGAACCCTTGAGTAAGATATCTTGAATGATAATAATAATAATGATAATAATAATAATAATAATAACAACAACAACACAGGTAACTGGTATAGCCGCAGGTGGGTGGGTTGGTGGGTTTGTGGTGGTGGGTGGGTGGGTGGTGGTAATGAGCGAGGCTGTGAGAGAAAGTAACCACCCTAGGCTCTGTATACTGAGACTCACCCACTAATAGTACCCCGAGGCTCCTAACTCAAAGACTCTCGTGTTATAATAGGAAGCTAGTGTAAGTTCTCAAGGGGAAGCTAACGTAAATTCTAAAGTGAATGTAACGTCATCTCACCTCACCTCACTTCACCTCACTTCACCTCACCTCCTCACTTCATTTCCTCACCTCACTTCACCTCACCTCCTCACTTCGTCACCTCACCTCCTCACCTCCTCACCTCACCTCCTCACTTCATCTCCTCACCTCACCCTCAGGTATCGTTAAGGTGTTTTAATCATCAGGTGAAATAAAACATTGGGGCTACTAATCCTCAGGTAATCCCTTATTTTACCTCTAGTTAGACACACACACACACACACACACGCACACACACACACACACACACACACGCACCAAACATCTAACTATCTTGTATTACTTCCAATTAGATTATATATAACACCCAACTAATTAATCCTACTTAACAACGAAAACAAATTAATCTTACGACCTCATGTGAATTATTATCATAGGTTAGAGGAGCTTAATGGTTCGTTATGGTAATATTTCACGCCCTCAAACAAGGAGAAACGTGTGGGTGCATCTTAGTGGCGTCTTAATGGTGTCGCAATTATACACATACAGGTAATGTGATAGATAGTGGC